ATATAAAATTTAATTTAAGTTTAATAATAAAATAATTTATTTTTTGTTTAATATTATAAATTTTATAAAGATAATAATTAAGTATTCTGTTAGAATTTAATGATTATACTAATTATATTTTAGATTTTTATATTTAAAATGAGATGTTTATCCTATATTTGATTGTGTTTATCTACAGTTAGTTACACGAATTCAGATATGGGAAGGGKTTAAGAGTTTTTAAGAGTTTTAAGAGTTTTTAAGAGTTTTAGTCAAATGCTTTATAATATAGTATAAATATTCTTTAAAATTTAAATTTATGTTTCTTGATATTATCTTTTTATTTCATTAACATAAATCTATATTATATTGTAAAGTATTTGATAAAAACTCATAAAAATCATTTTTTATGCATAAAGTACTGTATATTGATGCATATTACTTAAAATTCAATATTACAAGTAAATTATGCATAAATATAACTTATTAAAGTCTCATGCTTGAATTCGTGTAACTAACTGTGGATAAACATAATCAAATAAAGAATAAACATATCATTTTAAAATATAAAAAAATATAAAATATAACTAGGATAATTATCAAGTTCTAACAAAATAATTAATTATTATCTTTATAAGAAAATTATATTATTAAACCAAATATAAATTACTTTGTTATTGAACCTAAATTAAATTATTAAAAAAAATTAAATAAAAAAATTACACAAAATATGAGGAATTTTAAATAGTTAATTTGATACTAATATCGATATATTTTTGTCAAAGTTTTATGATATATTCAAATTTATATTTTGTTCAAAATTAAAAATATCATCGTTTTTCCAAAATCACATAAACTATATTATAGTATCGACTGGGATAAAGAATAAAACAAAATATTAAAATTAAAAGATGTATCTCGTTGAATTGCACGAATACCTTATACTATTTATATAAAAAAAACTTTTTAATTTAATTTGATAATTGTCCCTGAAATTAGTTGTGTTGACCTCTTCTCTTGGTTTTCGTCTATAAATACGTTTCTTATAAAAATATATTATAAGGATCTAAATATTCTTGATCAAAGATAAATAATATCATTAAATTACAGAAAACCTCGTCCTTAATTTTCGTTGCAATTGCAAACAAAATTCTTCCTATTGGAATTTTACCCAAATTCTCCGTCAACGGTCAAAGTCACTACTGAACTGGGGAATATATGACCACCCCAACCCACCTCCACCACCAGATCGATCATGTACCAACAAAATCAAACATTCATGGCGGAGGACGACCAAGAGAAACCTCTAGCTCCCACCACGCCACGCCCCCGCCTCCTCCCCATGACCGTAGACGAAGCCTTGTCCACAGAATTGAAGAAGCAACATCAAGGATTCCAGAAACGCACTGTCTGGTGCGGAATCGTCACCGCCGTCATCCTCATCATCGCGGTGGTGATGTTAGTCCTAGGTTTCACAGTCTTCCACATCAAAAACCCTAAAATCAAAATGAACTCTGTAAGGATCATCGGACTTGACGGAGTCAATCAAACGGATATATTCACCGGGAAAGCCAATCTGACGGTGGTGGCAGACGTCTCCGTGAAGAACCCTAACGTGGCGGCATTCAAGTTCGAAAAATCAAATTCAAGTCTTTTGTACCATGAGACGGTGGTGGGAGTGGCGGATGTTCCCGGAGGGATAGCTAAGGCAAGGAGGACGATGAGATTGAACTTGACGTTTCAGGTGATGTTGCCGCAGATAATCGGAAACCAACAATTTTTGACCGATTCTGCGGCGGAGATTCTACCGGTGAAAAGCTATACGAAGATTCACGGCAGGGTTAAGATAACAAAACTTATAAAGCGAAACGTAACGGTGACAATGAACTGTTCCGTCGACGTTAGCCTAACGAACTGGGATATCGTCCGTCAAAGTTGCATCAGGCATGTTTCTTTTTAGGACCTGTTTATACGACTTTATTATTATTATTATTATTTTTTAATGATTTTCATGTTTTTGCAAAAGAATTTATATATGTTAATTTTGAAAGAAGCATACATTTATTTTGGATAGAAGGCATGCAATTGAGAACTTTGTATAGGCAGATACATATGTATAACTAAATGAAATATGTATTATTAAGCTATTATAAAAAAAAAAAACATATATAATTGATGTGTAACAAATCCATCCTAATCCTTTGACACATTCATACTTTTGAAGAAGGATATGATATAGGTTTTGGAACTGGGTGGTGATAGTAACCAACCAACCAACCACAATTTCTTCATTGTCATTTAGCTTTATCGTTTACTGTTTATATCTTGTTACTTCCGTTTCCTTTACCACATATTTCCTTGTTTATATGCACGGACGATTCCTTATCAAATATTATACTATTTCCCTTCATCATAATCATTAATCACCAAACCAAAGTTTCTTTCACTAAATTAATCCTTTAAAAATTTTAAATTACAAAAATAACCTATAAAAGGATCATATTTCAAAAAATACCTCTCATTTAACACAACACACTGCTTAGTGAATAGGGGGGTTTTTTATAAAAAAAAATTACAAATTTATGTTTAACAATGAACCAATTTATTTATGATTTAATAATATAATTATTTAAAAAGATAATAATTAAGTATTTTGTTAGAAGTTAAAATTTTATTCTAATTACATTTTAGAGTTTTTATATTAAAAAAATAAGATTTTTATCTTGTATTTGATTATGTTTATCTATAGTTACTTACACAAATTTAAAAATATGATATTAATAAATTGTAGTTATGTACATTAATTACTTGTAATCTTAAATTTTAAGTAATATACATAAAAAAATATTTTCTAAAATTTTTGTCAAATATTTTATAATATAGTATAAATAATAATAGTAATAAGGATAATGATTATGATCATGAATTTAAGTTACCCATTTCTTAGTCACCAGGCTGAGCGCACCTTTGGTACTTCAGTAGGGCGAGCTCCCCTCTCTTTAATCTTAARTAAAGTGAAGTCAAATCAATGAAGTGAACAACCCAACCTCTTTGATCGGCGCTCGCAGGCTTGAGGAGCAGCACGAAAAAGGGAAAGCAGGGGGGAAAACGAAAGACCTTTTCTGGTCCCCCTGAGCCGGGGGGTGCTTGTGGGAGGGGCCTTATTCCCAACATGCAATGGTGCCCCGGGGTGGGTAGGAGTTTGATTGGTTTTCGCTCCGGCTGAGCTTTCCATTTAATCACTAACAAAACCTACCTTTCAATTCATTCTCTTTTTCAAATACTTCCTTCATGGATGGAATCAATAATCATTATTAGTTTATAGCTGTTATTCTTATTAAGTAATTATTATGTTTATTAAATATTATTATTTTAATTGTAATTAATAATAATAAGAATAATATAAATATTAATGATCAAAGATTTTTTAATGACAATTATGTGTTTTGATATTATAGAGGTGAAATCAAATTTAGTTTTAACTCAAAATACGCAAACCATGCGAAGGAATAAAATATGATCACAATAATCGATTATTTTAATTCATCCAAATTAAATGGGTTCTTAACTTTAGACTATGTTTATCGGTAACTTAATTAATTAACTTACCCGATCTTTAAATAAATATAAATTACTTTATTTCTTATTTACATACACAAAGTTATATATTCAATCTAATCTTACCTTTTTGATCTATGAATTGGTTGATGGGTATCCTCGATATAATTAGTCCTACGGGGTGTTTGGGATTTGTTATTATGTTTTTTTAAAGTGCTTATCAATTTATATGGTGTTAAATCGGAGTTTTATAAAAAAAATGTTTGGATCAGCTTATGGTGGTATCGAAATGTAATAGGTTGATAAATTGTTTTTTATTATTTGACAAATTTTTACTTATACATAACGACTAAAAAGGACATTCTTTCATTAATAACAGAAGGTCATTTAGGGCAAAAAGCCCTAAATTCGAACCCGCCAAATCCATATCGGTTGTCCCTGTGATTTCAAAATAATTCAATAAGCACTTTAAATAATCAATCCCAAACACCCCATTAAAGTTTCGATGTTAAGGTGTCATTTAATCTGAAATTTGAAAAAGGAGGACGGAATAGAATATTAAATTTTGTTTGACGGAATTTTTGAATGTATTGGCATTTTAATTTTCTTCTAGAATGAAAATTTAAATTCAGTAGTAGTGAAATTGACAGAATTTTTTAAGTGTGTTAGCGTTTTAATTTTCTTCTAGAATGAAAATTTAGATTCATTCATAGTCAAATTGACAGAATTTTTTAATTACGTTCGCGTTTTAATTTTCTTCTAGAATGAAAATTTAGATTCATTCATAGTCAAATTGACAGAATTTTTTAATTATGTTCGCATTTTAATCTTCTTTTAAAATGAAAATTTAAATTCATTAGAATGAACAAACGCTCCAAAACCATTACAAGAGAACTCAACTTATGATCAAATTACCTTTTAATATTATTTTTTTATTATTAATCTTGTTTTTATCATTATTATTGATGTTAGTATTATTATGGGATTAATTAATTGAAATTTTAAAAAATTATGAGATCATGAGAATTTCTACTTTAAGTTTTTCTTCACATGATTTTTTTCCCATCTAAATATAGTATTTAATTTATTGATTAACATATATTTGTTTCACAATATAGTTGTTTTATATGTATTCGGTTCACAATGTGAAACTTTTTAATATATTTTTTATTTCACAAACACGTAAAAATGTGCACATTATGAACCGAATACATGTCAAACAAACACATTATGAAACAAATATATGTTAATTAATATTCTAAATCCAGGTATTAGATGGAAAAAATCATATTAAATGACACATGATGCCCAATTTATTAAGGTTATCACAATTTTATAAGTTATTAAAAAAAGATACTTATTATTTGAGATGCATACTATAGTTAGCTTATAAAGCTCAGCAAGTTCATGGTTTGCATCAATAAAATCATTTCACATTATAATTGTCAACTTGTAAACTATGTACCAAATAATATGCATCTTCTGAAAATATGCAACACTAAAAGAAACAATATTTTAACTGTTGTAGGGGTTGTTCAACAATTTGTTTTGATCAATCTTGAAATACATTTGGATTTATTATGTGACAGTGTAAATGTTATATCTTGAATACAAAGCGATGTAATGTAAGTATCAAGATGTGAAATAACAATATCCTAAGATAGTAAACAACTAGGGTATAATATGATCCTATCTAAAGGTTGTAACCGCATAGGAAGTGTTAGGATTCTAAAAGAGGAACGGGAATTGCAAAGATATACTAGTTGATGGCGATTGAATGGATCTGATCAAATCATCCGTCGGATGTCGGATGGATCCAATCCGATCCAATAGATATCCAATAAGAATATTTGATGGATATCCAATAGATGCAACCGAACAGATCCAATCATCCATTGGATTAAATTGGACCGGTCATCCAATGTTAATCAAATTGGATCAGTTCTATTCCCCCATGCACAAATTCAATGGATGTCAACCAATGAACAAAACCTAAATGTATAAATTGTTATAATTATTCAGGAAATGGCCTAAACCTTATAAATTTTTAACGTCGTGTTTAATATTAAGGAATGAGGAGAGGCCCGACAATCATACCATCACGTTATTTTTCTTATGAAATTTAATACTGTTATGATTGCCTATCAAATAAATATAATTCATACATCTTTTTTTTATCTTATTTCTCCTTGTTATCAGAGGAAAACTCAAAGAACAAAATGTCTAGATAATTTTTTTTATTTTGAAGTATATAATATTTATATACGGCAAATGCAACAAATAAACTCACACACCCTCCTCAACTATGATGAGGTTTGGACCCCTGACCTCCTAGAAAGCCAAGGGCTACGATACCGCTAGGCCAAAGGCTCTTTGGTATGTCTAGATAATTATTGATTCGTAATCAATTTCCAAATTTTATTTTTATTTGCTACATTTTGCCTTAGTTTTATTTTATGCTTACCGGTTTCCTGTCACTATTTACAATGGCATACACATACATATCTCGCGTTACCTTCAACTTCCATTAATGGGAGGAACGAGCATTTTAACAAATCAGTCTAAACACGGGCATTTCTTCAAGCATGGTAGTCCAAATCCACTTTTATATCGGGCTAAAGAGGACGGGTCTAACGGGTTGTCCTGTCCGTAAACAATTCTAATGTAACCCTATGAGCTATGGCATACACTATCCCAAAATGGTGCATACCAGCCCTCCCCAAACGGCTTTAAATTATAACTACGAAAATAGGAATATGATTTTCTTCGTTTTCATTAGTCGGAGAGACGAAAATCAAAAGGAATTATAGACCACGATGACAAAAACTGTAATCAATAAAGATCAGGGATAAAGACGGAATTTTTGTGAAACCACAAGGATGAAAAACATGATTTACTATTTAAATTATATTAAATTTAAGTTAAACAAATCATATCAAAACAACAAGAAATTTACAATATTTAATTTTAGGCGAATGATCGTGTGACAATAAGAGTTAATATGAGATGTATAAGAAGAGATCTGGATCTTATATCACTTTTAATCTCAAACTCACCCATGAATTGCACTTGATACGGGATTGAGTGCATCCAATGGTGGAGATCCTTTTTTATACTTATCATTTTAATTCTCTTGCTCACCGGAACCTAATTCATTTAATTTAAGGGTTAGGTTCTGGTGAGAAGTGTAAGAAGACATCTTTATCTTTTGATCAATCATAATTGAATGTCAACATTAATGAGGTGTACCGAGATGCATCAGATCAATTCTTTTCTAAAACATAATTTACGAGGGACATGAAATTAAAGTGAAAAAAAAAAATTCACATATCTTTTTACACTTCTCACCGTTACTTTTTTTTCACACGATAATTTACCCCTATATATTTTTTGGGAGACTGGAGGTGTTAACCCGTATTTAAATTAGCAAGTGTCCTAATATATAAATTTCATTTTTTTATATAAAAAGAATTAACATTAATTTTTTAATTCGTGGTTTAAAAATAAAGTTCTAGATTTGGTTGAATGGTGCAAATAAACAATTAATATCAAGGAACGAACAAATAGCCTCCCATGAGCCGCTACAAGTTGACATTTCTTCTACCACTTAAATCAGCGTTTAAATGTAGTCGTAGCCCGTAACGAGGAGCATAGAACTGATAGAAGGTAAATGTTGTTTTCGCGATAGGTTTCATTAATTTTTGGTCGTAAATTAAAGATCATTTGTTAAATGGATGGACTAAATACAGCTCTATATATCGTTAAAAGAAGGTGTATATAACGTTATCACTAATAACAAAATATAAACCAATCCAACCCAAATATATAATACGATAAATACTACTAAAAATATACAAAACGAAATTATTAGTTATTACAATCATTCAAAATATATAATTAAATCCTTACGTCTTAGAATCAAATATTTCAAAATTTGAATAATGGAGGTTTCAAACTGTCCAAATCATCAATCAAGTATGACATTGTCGGACTTAAGGGTGTAAACTAGTCGAGCTTTTAACGAGCTACTCGAGCTTGAGCTTAATAATTCTCGAGCTCGATTCGATCTTGAATACAAAATAGAAATCGTTTAACCTAACGAGTCAAGCTTCTTAAAACCAATGTTCGACTTGGCTTGTTCGGAAAATCAATTAAGTTTTTTAAGTCGAGCTGAGTCATTCGAGCATATACTTTTTCGAGCCAAACATGCTCATATGTTAATAAATAATACAATAAAAATATCAAAATTATCAACCTCGAGCCAATAAACAAGTTCATCCATTGTCATTACAAGCCTATAAACAAGCAATGAGCTCAAGCTCGATAGACTACTATTTTTTTAATTCACACACACACACACACACACACACACATATATATATATATATATATATATATATATAATTTTATAAAAGTTATATATCAACCCTCTTAATTAATGGTTTGCTGGGTTAAGTTTAATTGAGTTGTTAGCGGATTGGGTTGGACGGATTTCACGGGGTTTTGTGTACACCCCTATTTACTGGTAATTATGGATATCAATAAGTCAAAGGCCTTTTATATATTATTCATTTGGGAAAAGTTTAAAAAAACCAATGAAATTTCATATTTTGAATGATTAAGTTTTTTAGTTTTTCTGATGGAAAAACAATTGAACCTTCTTATTTTAAATGATCAAGTCCCTTGACATATTTTTAATAACTATATAAACAATCAAACTTTTTGAGACTGGTTACCTACATTATTTTAACCCTAGAAAACTAGGAAGGTTTATAAGTAAAAAAAAAAAAAAAACCTAAATCAGTTTTTCCAAATTCTATATCATTCATACCCGTCGTACCCAATGCCATCACTCCCCGTCATCGTCCGCTCTCCATACCGCCCATCACCATCGTTTGCTCTTGCCACCAATCTCCTTCTTTTTGGTCGCTATACGTACTCCATTAAATTGTTCTAAGAAAATGAGAATCGAAAGAAAAAAAAAAAGATGAAAAATAGCAAACCGAAGGTAGTGGCTAGCTGATGCCGGCGAGAGGTTTGATTGATGTAGAGTTTGGTAATAGTAAAACTAATTTAGATTTTTCTTATTTTAAAACGTTACTAGAGGAATTACAAGTAACATTTTTGCATTAAAAATATGTACGTAATCAATTTCTAAAAGTTTGATGGGTTTTTATTATAAAAAATTCAATACCTTAATTATTTAAAACGAAAAAGTTTAATCTGTAACACCCTAAAAATTTATGATTCGTAAAATAAATAAATGTTAAGGGTTAAATTTTAAAGAGTAAACGACATACGAGATTAAAGTGTCAATACTCGAAAAATATGATTTTATTGCAATAAATAAATTTAATAAAAAGGGAAATGAAACATTTTGTATTTAATTGATTTGGGATGAAAATGCAGAAAGAAAAACAAAAAGGACTAGTTCTACCAAAAGTAGAAAACTAATTTGAAAATACTTGAAATTTGGGAAATCATTCCCCAAATTCACGTTTTTCCTATTCTAGAGACTATTTGACGATTTATAAATTGGAGTTTTCGGCTGAAATTTTGTGGAGACGTTCATAAGGGTGTAAGGGAGTAAACATTTTTAGAATTTCGAGATTTCATCAAGAAACGAGAGAGATATCGAGTTTGAAGCGGCATAGGGTCATTCCGCACAAAAACGATGATTGGAGGTAAAATATTCAACCAAAATTGATGTATGATATATGGTTGGTTTCGTTTTTCATTTATCTTTCTGTTGGTACAAGTCTCGTGGGCTATGGTGRCTTGTACGTCGAGCGGTTTAGGCTAGAAGCTGCTGTGGCGGCGGCTCGAYGAGATTCGGGTACAAAAATTCAAAATACGAGTTTAATATTGAACCATAGGGGCTGTAAATTTGAATACGATTTGGGATTAATATTGTATATAAGTTTTTGTTAAAAAGAGATTTGAGGCTCGTTTATTTACTTGGATTAATCGAAATAAACCGAGATGTTTCGATGAAGTTGGTCAAGATTTGGACATCAATTGTAAAAGTTATTAATTAACTAGAGTTTCATATTTAAATTATAAGAAATAATTTAAGAACTTATTTCGGGAGTTGCGACTAGATAATATGTGGGATCGGACGTTTTTATAACGAGAATCGTATATAATTAAATGTTGGGTTTAATACGTCGTAATTTATTTTGGATGTGAAAAGAATTCCATTGGGGAGGGGGGTATGACGAGGTATGCTTGGGGTTGACCCGTTGACCATTCTTACCCCAAAGTTGACCTATTTGACTTTCGGGTTGACTTTTTGGGGAAATGTTAATACTCTAATTATTGAAATATAATTACATGTTATAGGATATTACTCAGGGACGAGGTTTAGCCAAACAGAGCTATTCAGGTGAGTYTTCATGAGACTTTAACTGGGATGCATGCTTATGTACAAATTATTTGAGCATTACAATATTTTTTTTATGTACATGTTTATGGGTTTATTACATGTATATGAATTGTTATTATGGGTTGCATGCTATTTGTTTACGTGTTTTTAAACATTAATTAGCATGTAATAAACGAATTAATATTTTTGTCGGGTATGGGAAGGGGTCAAAAGTCATAAGGGATGGCACATCGTAGGGATGGGTGACCGGACAAGGGATAGCCGTGCAACCCGGGGAAGTGCCGATGACGTTAAGACCTTAACCCGACGGGAAATTAAGAGATCTCATTATTATTTCAAAAGRGTTTGAAACAAATGTGCATATTATTTTATTTGGGGCATTGTTTGTTTTATGCATGATGAGGTGTGTATGATTGTGCACAAAAACTATGAACTCACCGAGCTTTGTAAAGCTGACTATTAGTATGCATCTCAGGTGCAAGAAGTTCAAGGGTGGACAAGAGCGAGGTTCTCTCCTAGATAATTATATTATTATATTTCGAATGTTTAGGTTTATGCTTAAACTCATTTTGTAATGTAACCCGGTATGAGACGGGTTAGCGTTGAGCTATTAATTTTAATTGAATTTGTAAGACTTCCGCTGTAATAAGGCTTTATTAGCCACTATATTTTGGGGTTATTTATTATTACTTAATGAGAATGACGTGACACAACTAATGGTGAAAATTAATGAAGGTGTTACATAATCGACTTACTTCATTCAAAAAGTAAAAGAATTTAATCAATTAAAATAAAAAAATTAATTGGCTTCTTCTGAACATCTCCATATCTTTTTATATTACATGTGTTTGATAAGTTTTTTAAATGTGATGTATTAATTATAATATACATGTAATAACCTAAACACTTGTCAACAAAAGGTTAACGGATAATAACATATGTACCGGCCGTTTACCTAAATGCCTATTGGATAAGCGATTATCGTTAGGAGTCAACACTGTAATTTATTTTATCAGGTAAGATTGTAGTACATCAAAATTGTATCGTATGCAACAATTTACCCGATAAGCACTTATCCGGGTAAGAGTTGTCACTCTCACTTACCGAGTAATACTCTTCATTTTTATCATTGTTCTTACTGGGTAAGATTTTTGACCCTTGTCATGTTCATTCAGTAAGGAAAGTTACGCGGTAAACAATTTCCGGGTAAACGTTTAGTAAACAACCCCTTACTTGTATATTATTTTTTTGTTGAAGTAATAATTATATACATAAATATAATACTTTTGTACCTTGTTCATCTTTTGTTAGATGTGAATATTTGATAATGTTGAGAGATGGGGCTCTTCCAATAATATAGATGTTGCTTTGTCAATACCTTTTGATCCCATCATTAATTGTTGTCAACAACACGAGGAAGACGAAGAGCAACTTGTAGTCTACGTTAACATAGATACTTCGAATCTTGAAAGACAAATGGTTGTTACTCACAAATATATCAAATCTAGAAAGAGACATGATCCATGCACACAAATATATCAATCACGTAATTAAACTTATTAAAAACCACAATGAAATTGAAACAAATCATCGTCTGATGATCACCATACCATTAGGAATGTTGATCTGGATAGATATCCCACTGGACCAACGTTCTAGTTCCGATATGATCACGAGTACAGACTTACGTCCTTCAATCTTGGAGATGGGACTGCGATGAGTGGCTTTCTTTTCTTCAATGCAATCCCAAATTTATCGGAAACATCAAGTTTCTGTCCCGTCGGCAACCTCCAATCGAACGAATGAAGCAACGAAGCCAAAATATGCATCATCATCTTCTCACCTAAACTAACTCCTGGGCATCTTCTTCTTCCAGATCCTAACGGGAAAAACTTCGAATTTGTGCCTGCGTAATCCCATTTTTCTGATCCCTTGTAGTTCAAGAATCTTTCTGGGTTGAACTCGGATGGATTCTCCCAATACTGAGGATCTCTTTGAATCGCCCACACGTTCAAAAAGATCGTAGAACCCTTTGGAACTGTGTATCCACCCACCGTGCAAGTCTTGTTCGGAGCTCGTGGTAGTAGGAATGGTAATGGAGGATGTAAACGAAAAGTTTCTTTAAAAACAGCATCGAGGTACTTCAATTTTGGGAGATGGGATTCTTCCACGATGTTGTCTAGCCCTACTATTTCTGCTAATTCATCTTGTACCTTGTTCATAACTTGTCGATTTCGCAAAATCTCCATCATCGTCCATTCTATCATGGCTGAAGTTGCATCTGTTCCTCCAAGAAACACATCCTGTAACAAAGAAAATGTTAAAAATCGATCTGATCGTGAAATTTATGTGTTTAATCAATACTAACCACCACAAGAGCTTTCATTTGAGTCATGGTGATTGATGTCTCGGTGTTTTGTTCTTGAAGCTCTAATAAGATTTGTAGAAAATCTTTTCTTCCTTCTTCCTTAACTGCTTCTTCTTTAATGGCGGATCTGGAGTTGATTCTCTCCTCAACGGAACTCTCGAAAATCTGGTCAAACAGCTTCATTTGCTTCTTCATTCTTTGCTCCACACCTTGGAAATCGAAGCTTGCAAGCATCGGGAAGAAATCGGAGATGTTTAACTCTCCGGCAATCTCAACAACACCAGATACAAATTTACGCATTTCTGCTACAAGATTACTATATTTTGCACCTTTAACCATACTTTTCCCAAAAACGATACTTGTTAAAACGCTCAAAACCGTCGAGAAAGCTATCTCGTTGATATCGACTTCATTTCCGATAATTTCATGGACGTTTTTGATGGTTTTTCTAACTTCACGTCGACGGTAAGCATTAGAAGCTTCAAGATTGACGTTGCTAAGGACTTCATGCACCAAAACTTTACGTAGTTTCCTGCGGTTAGCGTTGTTGTCGGCAAATGCGATATCACTGGCGTTGTAGCTGGTGGCTAGTCCAGCGATATGTTGAGCCCGGTTAGCGAAGCTCTCATCCTGCTCGCCGGTTACAACCTTGGCTAGGTCAGCGGAGTTCACCACGATGTGGAGGTTACTCCCAAGGTAGAATTTGAAAATGGGACCATAACGATGAACCAGTTTGTGCAGTTCTAGGTGCAAGCTTGGGCCAAGAAATGGAAAGTAACCCACAACTGGAAGGCCGGAGGGACCTGGTGGTAATGGTGGTGCGCCATTTTGTGAGCTGGAAATTGACCTTTTGTACCATAAAAGAGGTAGCAGCGCCGCCGTGATGACAGCAAGTAGTGCAAGAGGAAGGTCGCCGTCGTTCTTGCCGCCGTTCCCTTCCGCCGGCCACCATGAGCCATGGGTGTTTAATGCTGCCATGTTTTTTTTGCCAGTTCTATCAAGGAAAGGTGGGAAATTCCAGATATAAGACTGTCGCAATTGCATATAGAAGTAGGTAGTGTAACATTAGATATGGATAATGATGACGTGGAGTCAATTTAATATTTTAATAATTATAATTATAATTATAATTATATATTTTTAATATTTCTTTGTATTGTTTTTGTTGTTTTAGCAAATTTCCAAGAAATTAATATCTGTTATTTAAATACATTTAGCTGTCTCATGAAGAAAATTCAAGACATTAATAAGAGCATGTTACATTCTTTAGCGCTTAATTAATGTAGGCGAGTCTTTTTCTTAATTAAAAAAAATAAATAAATGTAGGCGAGTCTAGGTCCCAAATGTACCTCCACGTATTAATTATTATTGACTGTAAACCAGTGTCTTGCAAAAAATGTACAAATATAAATCACAATAATAATTTTGATCATAGTGTTTAAATATTTATAAAAGATTTTATACGTACAACTAAAGATGGTCAAAAACCGGTTTTAATTAGGAGGATCTAAATCGGTCTTGATCATTGATTTCCTTTTCGTAATCGGTTTTGGTTTCGACCAAAACCTCATGCCCTGATCCCCTTTAACCATAACCGGTCCTGGCACTGAGTCAGTTACAAATCAGTCCCAAGTTCTTTTTTTCCAATAAATAAATTTTAATATATAAAAAATCTTGTTTGATGACTTTTTAGACAATATCTTTACTAAAATACAATTTAAAATCTTTAATTGCGTCATCTAAATACACTTTAAATATTTTTTACAAAGAGATATTGTGCATGTTTCTATAATTATCATTTTTAAAATTTAGTATTGAAGAAAAACTTTCAAAAGAATTTTGAAAACTTAAAATAAACTTCAAAAAGTTAATTTATAAAAACTAAATTTTTTATAAAATAAATCGGGTCTATGTATAACCGGTCCTGAATCGGACTTTGAATTTTTATTAAAACCATAAACGGCTATGGACCATCAGGCCAGTTCTAATCTATCTCGGTTTCGATATCGGACCAGGCCATTTTGGCCATTTCTACGCACAATAATATAGGACCAGTTAAACTTTTCCTCCAAAAACAAGGCTCAAACCAGTTATGGGACTGGTCCAGGGGCGGCCTAACTTACGTTTTTTTATAGCCGTTAGAACGGTCATGACTATTTTTTTTCCTTTCATTTTTTGACCATTTTCTGTCTCATTAACCATCTATGCCCAATATACAAGTCATACGGTGTATGAGATGATACCAACTTACAAATGCAAAAACGTTTATAATTCTCACTATAATTCGTGATTTCGACTCGTAGTCGATTTCCGTTTTTAACAAATTATAACAAAACATATTTTTTAAATGTATTTTATTGACTCAATTACATATTTTAAAGTGTATTATAATAATATTTTTGTATTTTTTTTAAAAAGATTTCAAGAAAAGTATCCGTAAAAAATCAAAATTTTCTTTAAAAAAAGTAAAAACGACTACAAAGTACCTTAATCGGAACTTAGAATTTTTATTGACACCGGTTATGAAAATAATGTTCGAGGATGGAACCGATTTTTAGGCATCTCCACACCAATGTATTTGATAAAAAAAAAAAAAAAAGTCAAACCTGTAGCTGGATTAGTGGATATGAAAAAGCCCACAACTGGATATGAATTTTTATATGATTAGCAGGCACGGTATGGCCTCCATTCAGCCCAAGCAGCTGTTGCTGGCCCAATGCTTGTTCAGTCCAGCAGCACAACCCTGGCCCTGGGCAATACTAATGACGTAGATCCTTGAAGATGGGGCCATAACGATGAGCCAATTGGGTGTAGTGTCTATGGAGGTACCAATCCAACTAGTGGTAATAACTCCAAAACAACCATTTAATTGTACCATGAAGAAGATGGTCGAAAGGGTTAGAATTGCAGGAGCAAGTTCGTCTTGCTTCTGTTGATTTGGAGCCAGTAGCTGAAGATCCTGAGATAAATGTTGTTTACAATATCTTATATCATCATATATGCTCCAACATAACCAAATGGATCTCACAGTTTTTAGATGATTAAGCCCCATATACATGTATATGTATGTATGGAAGAGTTTTAATGAGAACAGCTTCATTTTATGAGAACGTGAGAAAAACTTTTTTACTACAGACAATCACATGTGATACTATATTCCATCACATATGATACAAATGCGAGCCAAGTTGCCCTTACACCACTAAGCCCCTTCACGTGGATTATCACATGTGATAAGTGTTGTATTGATGTAATATTATATTGAATCACATGTGATACTAAACAATATATGCAAACGACCTTTTGCGCGACCTAAATCGCATGGCACGTCGTCCGCACACCACCCGGTCCCCTCATGTGTACATTTTGAGAGCGAACACGCGCCTCCGAAATGATTTCACAAGTGAACAGGGGTATGATAGTAAAAAAAAATTGGGAGTGAAATTAGGAAATGAGATATGATCCTAGTTTTCACTGTAACAGCATATCGACTCCGTGTTTCATGCAATCTTGAAATCTTTGAACCCATCATCAGGCCATCGAGATCCATCATCACGCTCGTCACTGTATGGGAAATCTTCATGTATGAACAATGCTCATGTATGACCAATGTTCACGTATGAACAATGATCACGTATGAACAATGTTCACATAAGAACAATGATTTGAGCAACCATTTTCACATATGAACAATATTATTATTAACAATATTAACTTAAAAACAAAATTTAGTGAACAATGATGAACTAATGTCGCTGCTGTAGTTATGAACAACATAAGTGAATATGTTTACTTATGAAACCAACATATAAGCTAATTGACCCATTTTTATCTCCCATACCGTCAACCACAATCATCTCGGTTCATCGTCTCCCTTACCGTCAACTACAGTCTTTTAACCACCAGAAGCCGCTACCAATTCTCCCGCCTCTCACCTCCATCACAACACCCTCACAACCATCTCTCATTCTTTCTCGAACTTTTTAATGTCCCCCCATTCTCACCGTCAACATTCAACAGTTCAATACTATTTTAGTTTTTTGACAGATTTCCGACGGATTTGGCCGTCAGAAAACCGCAGTTTTTTTAGTAGTGTAATAATTTAAGAACTCCAAAATATGTGAGATCCATCACTAATTTAAGATAATTAATGTTATTAATTAAGGATATAATTATTGTTATTTATTACATAAATTTAATTCATATCATTAGAAAATTCCATACTTATCTCTTTCTCCCTCTTTCATCTTCTCTCTTCTATCTCTGTATTAAAATACACACCGGGCACGCAAGTTGAACGCATTGTAAATAAAATGTAAGCAATTTGAATAAATATATTTTAGTAGGGTGTTAACATTGTATTCACTAATGGTATGTTCAAATTTAGTTTCATTGTTTAGTTTGTGTTCACTATAGGTTCACAAGCTATACCAGATCTTATAGATTTAGAATATTTCACAAGCTATAATAGTATTTTCTAAAAAAGGATTCGTAACGTGTTCACTTTGTACATATATATTATGGAGCGAGGAGATATGATAGATAAAGTAGGAGAAAGGAGAGAGGAGAGAGAGGGAGAGATTTTTTAAATTTATATTAGATTTTATTTTCTTATTATTTTTTTATGGTTTAAATTGGATCTCACGAATTACTAAGGACTTGAGAGAAGGTCCCCATATTGTAACAACCTAAATTTGATACGAGAATACGAGGTAAAGGCTTAGTAAAAGAAATTTGTAAGATGAAATTATGATCGTACGGGTATCAACTTGATCCCCTTTGAACCCACCTTCTCTTGTATAAAGCGACAATCAACCATTATATGCTTCGTATGCTCATGGAAGAATTGGATTAGAAGCGATTTGTATGAACGTTTTATTAATCACAATTGAAATTGTCTTTGAATGATTTAAGTAATTAATTACGAACCAACTATATATTATTCTATTAAGAATGCTACAAAAACATCATAATTCTTAGTAATTAATAATAATAGACTTTGAACAAATTACAAACATATACTTAATAATTATAAATCAACATCATTTGTTATTACAAAGCATACTATTTTTCTTGCCCTTTTATTGGAAGGAAGTGAAATAGATACATTTTGTTGACAAATTTAGAGCTTTAATTGGGATGATACCTTATGGAGGGCTCAAGAATAAGTGGTTTTCTTTTCTTCATCACAATGCCAAATTTCTCAGAGAGATGAAGCTCTTCATCCTTGGGAACACTCCATTCAAATGCATGCAACAGTGAAGCCAACATATAAACCAACATCTTCTCGGCCAGCGGGATCCCTGGGCATGTTCTTCTCCCTGATCCAAATGGGAAAAAACTGAAACTATTTTCACTGTAATCCCTTTTGTCTTTATAATTCAAGAACCTTTCAGGAATGAATTCTGATGAATTCTCCCACTTCTCAGGATCTCTGTGCATCGCCCACACGTTCAGGAAGACAATGGCTCCCTTGGGTATGGTGTATCCGCCTACTGTGCAGGATTGATTCGGGCATCGTGGGGTTAAGAGAGGAAGTGTTGGGTGTAATCGGAATGTCTCTTTGATAACTGCATCCAGATAGTGTAGTTTAGGTAGATGGGATTCTTCGATGGTGTTATCGATTCCGACAACTTCTGATAGTTCATCTTGCACCCTTTTCATCACTTCTGGATGGTGTAATATTTCTGCCATCACCCATTCCACCATTGTTGCAGTTGTGTCTGTTCCTCCTATTGCTATGTCCTGATGCAAAAGATTTTAGGCCCAAACAAATAAAGAATTCATAGGACATAAAGATTTATGTTTAGAAATGTTACCATAAGAAGGGCTTTTATTTGGGTGAAGTTAAACGATTTTGCAGCATCATTTTGGTCTTTAAGATCTAAAAGTGTCTGCAGAAAGTCCTTGCTTCTTTCTTTCTGGTCCGCCATTTTCTTCATTCGACTAGTGTTAGATATGATTCTTTCTTCAATGATCTGATCTAGGATTAAATCGATTTTGGCCCACTCCCTCTTCATTACACCATCCACGCCTTGTAGATCAAATCGAGCCAATATCGGGAAGAAATCAGACACATTTGGAGCACCCAACAGTTCGATAATCTTGAACACCATTGCTCGATACTCAGCTCCAAGATTTCCAGTCTTCTCTCCTTCAGCATATGTGCTTCCCCACAACATGCTTGTAATCACATTAAGCTCGGTGAAAAAAGCGACTTCGTTTATGTTAACTTTTGTCCCAATCTTGGTGTAGACATCTTTTATACTCTTGCTAACCTCATCTCTGCGGTAGGCACGACAAGCCTCAAGGTTCGCATTGCTCAGGACCTCATGAACCAGTACCTTTCGCATCTTACGCCAGTATGGACCATTATCGGACCATACTATGTTGATCCCACCATAGGTGATGGCTAACGCTGCTATTGGTGGATCGCGGTTAGCAAAGATTTGATCCTAATCACGGACCACAGTTTTTGCCAAGTCTGATGAGCTCACCACGACGTAGAGTTTGGTTCCTAGCCAGATCTTGAAGATGGGACCGTAACGATGAGCCAATTGGGTGTACTGTTTATGCAAGTTGGGTTGTAGAAATGGGAGGTAGCCAACCACAGGTAAGCCCCGAGGGCCTGGTGGCAGTTGCAGTCCACCCTTTTTAGAGCTTGAAAACAACCACTTATACCATAGAAGCATGAAGAAGAAGATCGAAAACGTGAGAATTGCACGAGAAAGCTCATCTTGCTGATTGCTGATATCAAACCACCATAACCAGTAACTATGGATTGTGAGATAAATGTTGTATCCAAGATCTGATATTATCATTCTCAAAGAAAACTAATAGAGACAAATGAAGCTTCAATGAAAATTAAAGCTTTAAAGGCCCTATATAACTGCACATGTATCATAACATTTAGTTAAGCTCCCATCAAGTGGTGATTGATTGGTTTGAGGTTGACTCTAAAAGTTAAAAATAGCAAAAGGTCACATGTTCAAATCCAAGAAATAAAAATCTTCTTATAGCCATGGAGGTTCAAATGCGATTACTCCCAGCTATCTGCAAAACAGGTGGTCGTATTGGAATTAGCCGGCTCGCATGGCAGGTTGGATATTTAGGTTAATAAAAATATATATATTTATAGTATTTAAAGAATATATATATGGTCAAGTGGTCAGATAGTCGGTAAAGATGCTATTTTCAAGTAGGATTAAATATAATGATGGTCAACCCTTCAGACACAATGAGAATGACTGAAATGTGTTAAGATTTAACAAGCAAATAGACATATCATTTGGCCTCATTAACACATGATTTTTTTGGAAAGAGCATCAGCGACCGACGAGAGATGTCGACTGATGGATAACGAGCTTGAGAACACATGAGTAATTTAATAAACCTAAAAAAGATGGTTTAATGATGGATTACTGTAACAACCCACCATTACTAAAAAAACAAAATTCATGTTTTAACATACATTAGGTTCCAATATTTATAAACATTTCAAGTCTATTTACGTATAACAACCCAATAGTATGGATTAACAAAAAATTTCATCATAACAGAACTTTCTTCCATAATTCCACTACATTGTGAACATAAGATACACACTGTGATACCTACAAACGATATTTACTGTGATACGCAGATATACATACAAGATACACAATGTGATACCATTTTTAAAACAAAGAAAATAATAAAATGCACACTATGATACATTTCATAAAACAATGAAAATACATTGTGATATACATAAAACATTGTGAACGTTATCATTATGATATACTTTGATTCACAAACGTTTTTAAAATACGATGTATATAAAAAGTTTAATATTTCATTAAATATTAATTGCAAAAAATAGAATTATTATATTACCCTTTTCGCTTATTTAAAAAATATATTTAAATATTTCAAATAAATGGTTCAGATTGGATCACAGTTACCACAAACTAATCCGTTCTACTTTGAATGAAAAAATATATGTATAAATATATAATATGTGTGCATGTATTCTTTATTTATTTGTTAGTATTAATAGTATAATTAATTGCTTCAAGATCCGCGAGTTGATCATGCATGAAACTTAAAAAGGAAGCAATTATATGTGAATATTGTACTTTCTTTTATGAAGATATACAGACATCAACACTTAAAATACATTATTTTGGTATACAAATTGCGATAAGGCCATTAACACATCACTCATACATATACGATTCATACAATCTTGGTGTTGGAACTGCCATGAGAGGCTTCTTCTTCCTCAAAACAGTCCCAAACTTTTCACCCAGTTCAATCTTCTCTCCTTCACCTGATTTCCAGTCAAATGAATGAATAAGCGAAGCAAGTGAATACATAAACATCCTCTCCGCCATCGTAGTCCCTGCACATATTCTTCGCCCAGCTCCAAACGGGAAATAGTTGAAGTCTTTCCCACTGTAATCCCACTTATTATCCACAAATCTTTCAGGGATAAACTCCAAAGGGTTTTCCCATATCGTAGGATCTCTATGAATCGCCCATGCGTTGACAAAAACTCGAGCACCTTTTGGGATCATGTAGCCACCGATGACACACGACTTGCTGGGGCAATGTGGGAGTAGAAGTGGGAGTATCGGGTGTAAACGGAGAGTTTCTTTCATGATGGCATGCAAGTAAGGTAGGTTTTTAATGTGGAATTCTTCAACTATGTTGTTTTTGCCAACAATTGTATCTAGTTCTTGTTGGGCCTTTTTGAGGATTTCAGGTTTGTCGATCATGTGAGCTAAGGCGAACTCGATTGTCGTTGAGGTTGTGTCGGTTCCTCCTATAGCCATGTCCTACGTACCAAATTGGACAATCAACGTAAATGAAAGTGAGCTTACTCATGTATATGATACACAATCGAACAACAAATTTACAATTTAGTTTATTTCATCGACGACGTACATAATAGAATGAATGATTCCACTCTTACTACAACGAAATCGGCTTTGCACGAGACTGTTTTATTTACATGACAATTGTGCATCTTATTTACATGTGTTACCATAAATTGACATAATTCTTGTGAGTGTTCTAAAAAGTCGTTTTAAAATAACTTTGAAATAAGACGTCCTATAGCATTATTTGAAAAATAAACTTATAAAAACAAGTGTTTTATAAAAAGATGTATTCATGAAACATTTCTAAAAGATGTCCAATAAACTAACCATTTGGGTTGTGAGTGTGACGAACTAGTTAAGCCTAAGGGGATGCACTAAAAAATCTCATGTACTTTAGATTCAAATTCAGGTACTGCCAAAGTCCTTTGGCCATGGAGGTTTCTATGGTGACTTTAAGTCATTTGTGGTTGTTCGTGGGATTAATCGGTGCGGGTAAACTTAAAAACTTTTGACCTAAAAACTTGTCAGGATATTTATATATGACATCATATTATAACACATTTATATATGACGCAGAATTGTTTAGTCTTGTAAACAAAAATGCTACAAATCATTGATATATTATGATATTTAGACATTTTTGATCGTATGTATTACATAAATTAGCTACGCATAACCTCCGGTGTAACCCTAATTGAATATGAACAAAATAAAAGAGAGCATATACCTTGAGCAAAGCTTTGAGATGGTTCATGGTGAATGGTGTTTTGTAATCTCCATCATCTTTAACCTGCAATAAAAACTGCAAAAAGTCGTTATTAATTTCATCCCCATCCATCTTCTTTCTTTGATCAATTATCTTCTCGAAGATCGCATCAAACTTCTTTGCTGCCACCTTCGTCTTCTTCATGATCCCTTGCAGATCAAACCAGGCCAAACTAGGATACAAATCCGACAAGTTTGGCGTACCCAATAACTCGGTTAACTCATTGCTCGCTTGCCTGAACTCCACTCCTAAACTCACCATATTCTCTTCCTTCACTGTTCCACCCCACATCATCCCCGTGACCACATTCATAAACGTCAAGAACATTTGATCGCCAATGTTCACCGGAGACTCACCCTGGCTGTACAGTTGTTTGATGGTTTTCCTGATCTCTTTCCGCCGGAGAGAGTAAACGGAATCCAATACTTCATTGCTGAGCATCTGACGAACACAAATCTTTCTCAACATCCGCCATTGATCCCCATACGGAGACCATACGATATCATTGCCACCGTATGAGGACTCGTTACCGGCAACCGTCATATCACGGTTGGCAAAGGTGGTGTCGTGAACTTTGAGCACCTCGTGAGCTAGGGCCGGGGAGGAGATTACGATGGTCACTTTTCTACCGAGCCAAAGGGTCATAATTGGACCGTAGGTTTTGGCTAAGGTGGCAAAGTGCGAGTGGAGGTCTGTATCGAGAGAAAGGAGGTTACCGACTAGCGGTAACGGTGGCGGGCCTGGTGGTAGTTGGTGGTTGCTGCCACCATTCTTGGATGTCCACATCCATACAAACCAGAAGATGGAAAACACAGCAACGGCAATGACAAGTATAAGATCAACCTGGTCGCCGGCATTGCTGATTCCCCACCACCCAGACCATGATTCAGGTACGGCGGAGGCTAGTTCTTCCATATTCAACGATACATTTAACGAGAATGGAAGGAGAAAGTGTGTGTTTATATATAAAGGGATATTAAAGACTGCAGGTAGGCACGTACAATTAATTTGGGAGGTGATCAATCTTGTCTGTAATTTCAATTTCTTGAGTTATTGCAAATTCTAAAGATGGTGGCTTCTAGTAATGTATATGTTTGAATTCTTCTCCTATTTCTAGGGTTTCAAGGGGGTGTTTAGGATTGATTATTTAAAATAATTTGTGTTTTTTTTTTTAAATGTTTATTAACTTATATGGTATTAAACCGGAGTTAAATAAAACATGATTAAAATTGTAAACTGGTAATAAGCAGTTTTTCATAAGTCATGAAGGATTATCTTATCAAAAACAATTTATTACCGGTTTGGCACCGGTATAAACAGTTTTTTTCTTATTCAAACAGCAGAAAACAACTTATCACCGGTGTCAGACTGAAATAAGTTAAAAAACAGTTTTTATAAGCAATCTCAAACACTTCCTAAATCTAAATATTATGCACCAGATTGTTCGCAGTATCGACATTGTTCTCTCTTTTTGTTTAATATTATTACCGTTTTACAGAAAAATAAATTATAAGTGTATATAAAATCTTTATCAAATTATATTGTTAGGATTAAGAAGAGATATTATTTTTTATAGGTATTGGCATGAATAACTCTTATCGATAAAGGAATAATTTATCCATAGTTTATTGATGATAAATATTTATTAAGTTCGAAAGAGTTTAAACATAAGTTAAAATAATCATACATACAGTTGTAGGTTTATTTGAGAAATGATAAGTATTTAAGCAGTAGGGAAGTGATCTCATTCCTATATTGGTCAAGATTTATGGCTTTGACTGAAAAGTATCGGAGAATTATGTAGAAGTAACGTTTACAAATAGGCGGCAAACCAAATGCATATATGAATTCGTGTGGTTCACATATAAACCATATGTTCATATGTGAATCCGTGTAATTCACATATTAACTATTTAACTGATTCACATATGAATTAATTAACTGATTCGCATATGAAGTATATGTTCACATATGCACTTGTTTGGGGTCTATTTGCTAAAGTTACAAAATCACCCCTCTATTTTTTGCTTGTGCAGTCAAAGCACTTGGGTTCCGGTGGGAGGCTATAGTAAGAAACGTAAGAAAAAATATTCATTCTTAGATCAATCTTAATTGAATGTTAACCCTGAAATGCACCGAGATGCACTAGGTCAATTCCCTTTTAAAACGCAATTCATAGGTGAACATGAGATTAAAAGTGATCAAGAGTCTAAATCTTTTTTTATGCTTCTCATCATAACTCTCTTCTCACACGATCATGTGAAACCGACTTATTTTATTGATATCCCGTGAGACTATTTTTTTACACTTGAAAATTCACAGAAAACATTGTGATGATAACATTCATAATGTTTTTGTTGTGAAGGTAACCTTTACAATATTTTGTTGTGAAATTTTAAGTGTAATAATATGCATATGGTCTCATGGTTCTAACCAAAAACATGTTGGTCTCACATAAATTATCTCTCTCTCTCTCTCTCTCTCTCTCTCTCTCTATATATATATATATATATATATATATATATATACTAG